ATGGATGGATGGATGGATGGATGGATGGATGGATGGGTGGACGAATGGGTGGACGGATGGGTGGATGGATGGTGATGATACGATGCTTGCCACCATCTCCTGTCCTGCATATGTATACATGTAAGCACATCTACATACATACATAAAGTGTACGCACACACACACACATGCACACACACACACACACACACACACACACACACACACACACACACACACGCACACGCACACACACACACAGTGCGCACGCACGCGCGCACCCACGCACACGCGCACACATAATCGCGCAGACACACGCACACAGATACACGCATATGCTCGCAGACACACGTCCACACATGCGAACAGACACACGATTGCGCATCAGACTGCGGTAGGTAACCGTCACGGACTCTGCTATGTGTATAGCTCAAGGCAGATGCCATGTAACATCAGCAGCACCCGATCTGTTTATATATCTGATGAACGGTGCCTTGCCACCAGCGTAGACGCAAGAGTGTCGACGGTCGCGTGTCAGATTCAATCGGTTGATTATTAAAAACGCCTGGCGGCACTAAAGATCCTGACGCTCACACGTAATATTGTCGAAAGTTATATTGGGTACTTACATACGAACCCGCGGTTTTTATATAAGTGTGGTTTACTATGAAATACGCCGTAAATGCTCATACGTATTAACACTAAACGTGCAGATTTATTGGTAGACAGACAGGCAGTTAGGCAGGCAGACGGACTGATGGAAGAACGGACGGGCAGCCAACTAGATAGCCACGCAATACATTCACGCGGAGTCACGCCCCGTGAGGACGGACGTTCCGTGTGTCCAGATCATTATCTGTCGCGCATGTACAATCGGTGATTTAGCGCGACTTACGGTCGAACACGTCACAAACTTCCTTCCTTCTCCAGTGGCAGATTCAGGAGGGGGGACTGGGTGGCTAGCCACCCCCCTCTGTTGGACTAACAATAATTTTACACATATACCAATTAATTATTGCCAAGTATAATAGTCGCGCGGCTGTACAAAACGGCACCTGATGCATGGGTTAAATTATGTAATTGAGTGTTAAAGCAGGTTACAACCCGTTTGCAGCTTTTTTCACAATTCCAAGAAAGGGTTTTGGCTGTCGCCCTCATCCCAGCGGTGGTCACTCTCTACATATTCAATAATGCCCCCCCCCCCATCGTACATCAATCAATGCCGCGCTGCAAGCGCAAGAATTGTTCTACTAAAAAGAGAATTGTCGTAGTCAGAATGAAGGCTGTACATGTACTCAAAAGTGCCTCAAACACCATCTCCTGCTATCTACATTTTCAAAATTTTCTGGGGGAGGGCCTCCCTACCCCCGCCAGTTTTCCACCTCCCTCCTTGAAATCCTGGATCCGCCACTGCTTCTCATGCCTCTTTTCACAGAGTTAGGATCCGTAATACCTTTATCGCGAAGTTGATTTATTCGGTATATACTACTAATGCGATCAGCGATTATGGGTTTAATTATTCACTGAAACTACTCGCGTTCTTACGAATTATCCATGAGTATAAAATGTTCAATTAACTAAGATAGATTACCTAATATGACTACATGAATATCCTAACGCGTGACGCAAATCGTATTTACCACATTATAATAATATTCTAAATCTCACTTTTGTATTCTGGAGCATTTTCTAACTCCGTGTTACGATTATTGGCTGTTATATGATCTTATTATGACTTAAAGCTTAACCATCTTCTCTATAAAAATTGGCTTAACTTATAATGAGACTAAATCAAATATATAAGTAGTTACTGTAGAGGTATGTAGTGTCTTTTAAATCTACGATCTGATATTACTGGAAGATGCAAAAGATCCAGGCATTCATGTTCCTCGTGTTATACGCTCGTCGGCATAAAATCATCTTGCGCGCGAAAACAAATAATTTGTCTTGGCCCAATATTGGAATAGCCGCAGTCACGGTAAATAAATTACATATAGGCCTACACTGAAGCTTTTATATACATGTATACGATCGGCGACAGGTGAGGACCCTCTGCAACAAATATGAGGTTTACACGTGTAATGGGTCCACCTATACATGCCACAACACAGCTCGTAAAAACCTGACGGCAGGTCTACAAATCCGACAATATATGTACACATCTCAGCTTCTGGGTTAAGAGATCCAGCTAGCCCCAAATCCCAATTTTACACGCAAACAGCAACAAAAGTCATCACCTATAGGCGCCTCTCGCTGTGACAGAAACAGGGTATTATATGTATAAGCTACTAGCTGTCAAGCTGATTATGGCTGACCCCAGCACACCCACAATGAACTACTGTTCGGTCCTGCACTGCCCGTAGAATTATAGACATTTACATTTAAAATGGCTAACCAACGGACCTTGCATCATAGCCGGAAAAGTCTTACAAAGACTTAGAATATACAGTATATTTCAATTGCATTCTATAGATCATTATTTCGACATAGTCATATTGCGCGTGGGCTATATTTGCTATGGTTCCGGCCCTTGCTGTTATGTGATCTATATTTCATAAAGCTGATGCCCTTGCTACTTATTTTAGTCATACTGACGTACTTTCACAATGTATGTTTGCCAGAAAGGTACAATTTAATTTTCATATCGCATCGTAGAATACGATAGCAATCATTACTAGAGTTCTGCACGTAACTTACCTCCTCCCTCGTGTCTTGTTAATTTGATTCACTTGACTTCAAAAGCGCATCATATATCATATACACGCATGGAACATATATGCGGCGCATGGAGTCAAATGTGCCTCTTTAAGATATACAATACCACGTCGTAAGATTCCAACAATGAATCCTCCATTCAATCGGTAACGAAGAGAAACAAAAGCAAACGCATCTTGGAATAGCTAGCTATAGATGTCCACGTAACACAGACGCTCTTCAAAAATACGAAACCGATTCATTCTCCAGAGGGTGTATATCGGCGTCGCGCAGCTCAATAAAAGTTTCGCGACGTGGTATTATGTTTATAAATGTCAGCGCTCAGTAGCCTACATTTACAAAACCTGCATCCGAGTCTACGCAAATTTAATCTGGTAGCTGAAGTCCACCTCGTGCCGGCCACGCTCACGATAACACGCAGTCTCACGACGTCACGCATGCCCTTATGCGTCGGAAATGCCACGGTCGCATCGCAACGTTACTTAGCAGTAACGTAGCATAGATATAGCCGATCGCTACGGGAATATATACCCGCCGAAGGGTTAGCTGCTCTCCGCACACACACACACGCACGCACGCACGCACGCACGCACGCACGCACGCACACACACACACACACGACATATACGGCAGGCGTTATACCTCCTGCCGCCGAAAACTTACTCACTCAGATATTCTAATAATGTTATAGGTTCTCAATAATTGCCTCTCTTGGCTCTCAATAGAACATTATTCCTAGAGTTCATTTCCTTGTCGCGGAACTAAGCAGAATGGACGTATATTCTATTAGCGGGCTTGGCCCGCTGAGTTTGTGTGCAGACATCTCCATAGGTTGGTAGCCGTTACACATCGCCGAGCAGCCAGACACACATTCAAGCTAAAAGACGCTTTATATAGGGGTGTGCGTCACCGAGGAACCAGGCATTCGGTATAAGATCAACACACACGCGCGCGTGCCAGCACGAACGCACGCTCACATGCACACACGCGCGCTATCACAAATACACACTGCGCGCGCGCACAACACACCACGCACGCACGCACGCACGCAAACTCCACGCACACACACACACACAACACACACACACACACACACACACACACACACACACACACAGGCCACCACACCACACACTACACATATATATATATATATATGAGACACTTGGTTGCAGAATTACCATATTACTGTCATAAAATTAACTTTATGACATCATTCGACAATAAAACTGTGATTAGAAAGAAGAATTTTACTACCAAATACAGAAAAACCTCGTGTATAACCATATGACTCATATAACACCATCAAAATGCATCATTTTTGTACATGTGTGATGCCAGTTTCGTAACAAGTTTTCCCAAGAAGGAAGAGTATCTGCCCTTTTTTACCCGTACTCGATTTTTTGGTAGTGCGCATAGGCTAGTTTACTGGTGGTGTCGGATCAAGCACCATTGTTAACACAAACACCATTAAACCTAATTATCAATGGCCCTGATTATACCCGAGCAAACTGAAAACCCCTCTGTTAAAACTATATTGTTGGAGGCAGATTGTATGACATTCCATCTCATTGTATCTACCAGGCAGGCATACTCTAGTGGCCCCTTGTTACCACAGTAATGATACTCCGGGACTATTCTATGCTGTGTATGCGTACGAAACGTACACGCGCGGCGGGGTGTAGGTATATTTGAATATAGCAGGACACGAACCGAACAGTTCCCTAATTGTTTCCTAGCCCCAAAACGCGTAGATATTCAGACCCAGATACACACATACACGCTCACACTCGGGCGCATGCGCGCGCACGCACACGCGCATTCCTACTAACGCACGCGTGTACGTCAACGAACGCACGCTCATACACGCACACGCACGCATACGCATACACGCCCCCACACGCAGGCACAATATACATAAATATCGTCACCATCGTCGCTTTGGCCTGGGAGATCTAAGACTGGCCGTTACTGGCTGCATGTTCTATACCCTTGTAAATCGAGCAGTCGGTCTCACTGCGTATAGAACTTGTGGCCGATTCGCAGGAAGCAACTGGTCTTGGCTGCTTACGGCACCATAAACTAATCACTGGCGATAGAGAGCGAAGTTGTTTATCGCTCACTTGACACACTGCCGGTCAGCCTGTGCCTTCCGTTCACTTGTTCGTGTGGTAAATACGGCACACGTATGAATAATATTTCAGTAGCAGACC